AATTCCAACATATACTCACAGAGACACCAATATAGTACCAAATGCAACACAGATTCAACAAACTTCTACTAGACACCACTACAGATACACCAATGTACTACTAGACACCAAACATACCAACATATTACCAGGCACCACAGACACACTAGCCTTCCACCAGAAAACACAGACACACAAACATTCCATTAAAACCACAGATACATAATCTTTCTACTACATACTACACAGATATACCAACTTCCACCAAACACTACAACAGATACAACAACCTTCCACCAGAAACCACTGATACAACAGCCTTCGACCAACACCACATAGATAACATCAAACTTCCACCAGATACCAGATACCATAATGTTCCACCAGATACCGTAGAAACACCAACTGGCTCTCAGAAAGCACAGATATATACCAGTATACTACCAGGTACCACACAGATACATCAGCCTTCTACAAGACACCATCATAGATACACCAACATACTATATACAGCAGATACACTATCCTTCAACCACACACTACAGATACTCCAACATTCCACCAGACACCACAGAAACACCAACCTTCCATTAGACACCATAGATAGATCAATGTTCCAAAAGACACCACACAGACACACTAAACTTCTACCAAACACCACCACAGATACACAAACATACAACCAGACACAACATATACACCAACGTACTACCAGACACTAAAGGTACACTATCCCTCTACCCGACCCAACACAGATACACTGACTTTCCAGCAGGCAAGAAACCTCCACCAGAAAGCACAGATAAACCAACCTTTCATTAGACACCACAGATATACCAGTATACTATCAGAAGCCACCAGAAACCGTAGAGATATAGTCATACTACCAGACACCACCATAGGTATACCAACATACTACCAGACACAACAGATACACTAACTTTCCACCAGACACTACGGATGCACCAACCTTCAATTAGACACCTCAGATAGACCCATCTTCCACCTGACATCACAGATATACCAACCTTCCCCAAGACACCACCACAGATACACAAGCCTTCTACCAGATATCACAGATACATCAACATTCTATCAGACACCACACAGATATATCAACCTTCCACCTGAAACCACATATACCAACCTTCTGTTAGACATCAGAGATAGATCAATCTTCTGCCAGACATCACAGAGGCACGACATACTACCAGACACCGCAGATACGCTTGTCTTCCACCAGACATAAGAGGTCACAAGAGTAGAACTTTCCCTGCCCCTCACCAACTGCAACACTTGGGAGAGCTGGCCCTGCACCTCACCTGAGCAGCACAGGAGAGCTGATCCTTTTGGTGGTGTGGTTGAGCCAGCCCCAATGCTGTGAGCATGGCGGAGCTGTCCCCACTACTCATTTGTCTTGTGGTAGCATGGACAGGAGAGAAATCTCCCCTCCCTGCCTGTCAACGCCTGAGGCAGGTGTGAGAGCTGAACTCGCCCCCACCAGCTGTAGCACTCGGGAGGGTGGCCCCGCGCCATGCCTGGGCGGTGCAGCAGGGCTGGCTCTGAGGGGTTAGGTGTGAGAGAACCGACCCTGAGGATGTGAAAACAGGAGAAATGGACCCGTACCCTGCTTATCAACACAGGGGGTGACTTAGCCAGGGCAATGCTGGAGAGCCCACACTGGTGGTGAAGACAGGAGACAGCTGGCGGGCTGGCTAACCCTGCCGCTACCCAGGCCCAGAACTAGTATTATGTTAGCCCACCCCAACATCCACCCTATCTGTGATCTGCTGGAGCACAGGGCCATAGGGGGTGTCGGTCCTGTGTCCACGATGCAGGACAGCAACAGGATGTTCAGGAAGAGTCCCAGTGAGGGCCCAGCATCTAAGGTGTGGCAGAGACCAGGGGCCTTGAACCAAACCAATGATTCTTTCCCACAAGACCTGCATGTGAAGATGCATGGATAAAGGGGTTTACTGTGTGACTCACTGTCACAATGCAGCTTCTATGAGATTTCCCCTTCTTCCTTTTTTTTCTATCTTAAATTTTGTTTTAGTTTGAGGTTGGAAGGGAGATGCGTGGGATTGGGAGGCATAACAGGAAAGACACAAAGAATAAATAAAAAAAATCTAAAAAAAGGAAACCATGCAGATACACCAATATACTACCAGACAACACAGATACACCAACGCTACCAGAGGCCACACATATGCCAGCCTTCCATCATACACTACACAGATATGCCATAGACATACCAATCTTCCACCAGACATCACAGATAAAGCAACCTTCCACATCAGACACACCAGACACCACACATACACACCAACACACTAGCAGACACCACAGTTAAACCAACCTTCCACTAGAAACCACAGATATACCAGCCTTCGACAAACACAGATATATCAACATGGTTACACCAAACCTTCATGAGACAACACCAATACATCAACCTTCCACAAGACACCACAGATACACCAAGCTAGCAGACACCACACAGGTACAAAACCTTCAACCAGACACCACAGATACACCATCATACTAGCAGACACCACACAGGTACACAAACCTTCAACCAGACACCACAGATACACCATCATACTAGCAGACACCACACAGGTACACAAACCTTCAACCAGACACCACAAATTCACCAGCCTTTCTAGCAGACATCAAACAGTTACATCTACCTTCTACCAGAGATACACCAACACAGTCCCATACAGAACACATACAACAACATACTATCAGAAACCACAGATACACCATCAGCTTTCCACCAGTCACCACACGGATAAAATAACCTTACACCAGACTTATACCCCAACTTTCCACCAGAAACCACATGGTAACACCAACATACTATCAGACACTACAAAGACACACAAAGTTGATATTAAACAGATACATTAACACACTACCAGACACCACAGATGCACCAATCTTCCACAACATACCACATATACCCCAACCTTCCACCAGACCCCACCGATACGCCAAACTTGCACCTGACAACACATAGATAAAGCAACACAATACCAGAAACCAGATACACCAATCATCCATAACACATCACAGATACACTAACCTTGCACCTGACAACACACAGTTACACCAACTTTTTAACAGACACCAGGTACACTCATACCAACCAGACACTACACAAATATACCAACTGCTACCAAATACCACTAGAGACGTACCTTTAACGATGATCCAGACACACCAACCTGTCACCCGACACTGCAGATGCACCAATATAGTACAAGACATCACAGATACATAAGTCTTCACAAGTCACCACAGACACACCAACACACTGAGACATGACAGATACCACAGATCTCCAACTTACCCACACCTACACAGACACACCCACCTTCCATCAGACACCACCAAAGACCCCACAGACACACCAACCTTCAATCAACACCACAGATACACCAACCTTCCATTTGACATGACAGAAACACCAACCTTCTGATATCACAGATACACTGAAGATCTACCAGACACCACACATATACACCAATACACTTCCTGACAACACAGATACACCATCCTTTCCACCAGACACCACAAAGATACATCAACATACTGCCGTAGATACAACCATCTACCTAAACCAAAGGCACACCAACCTTCCATTTGCCAAGACAGATACTCCAAATTTCCATCAGATACCACGCGATACAACATAATACCAGACACCACAGATACACCAGCTTTCTGCCAGACACCAGATGTACCAACCTTCAGTAGACACCACACAGATACTGTAGGGAAAAGGGACCAGTCAAAGAAACACACCCTGAGCAGAGCCAAAGAAACACACTTTGGCCCTGCAACCACAACCAAAGAAATGTACCCTGACCCTAAAACCAGTGCCAAAGGAACACACTTTGTCCCTGGAATCAGAGTCAGTGAAAGAAATGTACCCTGGCCCTAAAATTGGAGCCAAAAGGCTAAAAAGGACCAGAGAAAGAAACACACTTTGGCCCTGAAACCAGAGCCAAATCTGACCCTAATCCTGTGTAAAAAAGTAACCAATCCCGGAGCAGAGCTCTAGCCAATCTGAGCTCAGCACTGAAATCGGACCAATCTCTACTCTGGAAAAACTTCCCCAATCCCTATATAAACCCTGTGTATGTTCAGCTTGGCTGGTCCAGCTGTCTTCCAATAAACACCTTTGGATGAGCTTCAGGTGAAGATCTTCTTTTGCGGCTGCGACAGAGCAAAGGCGACCCTGGGCAGGGCAGAGCAGAGCAGAGCGAGCAGAGGCGACCCTGGGCAGAGCAGAGCAGAGCAGAGCGAGCAGCGCTGTAACACTTGCCCTGGAAACCTTCCTTGGCAAAGCAGAGTTGTTACACTCTGCTCCCGGCTCCCTGCTCTCCGCTCGGCTCTCCAGGAGCAGAGCTGAACTGTAGCAACTTCGCCCGAGAAACCTCCTGCGGAGCAAAACTGCTACACTAGGCGAACATCCCCAGCTGGAAGACCCTGTCCTGCTGGAGCGGAGCTGATACACTGGAGAAGCCTTTCTCTGAGGCAAGGCTGTAAGCTGCCAAGCTTACTGCAACCTGTGGTGGTCCTTGGCTCCCGAGCTCCAGGATACCTTTCTACCTGAGCTGTGTAACACTCAGTATCCTTGGCTCCCGAGCTCCAGGATACCTTTCCACCTGAGCTGTGTAACACTGAGTATTCTGTGACTCCCGAGTGCCAGAATACCTGACCCACTCCTGTTCCATCCTGTCCTGACCCATCCCAACAAAACGCTTACAGATACACCAACCTTTCACTAGACACAACCCTTGCCCTGATCTTTTGGAGCTCTACACACCCAACCTGTTTGAAGTATCTTTGGAATATGTGGCTAGAACGGTGTGAAGGGCGGTAGGTGTGGTATGTATAACCGGAGATCACAGTACTTGGCAGAGCCGAATTCATGTTTGGGCAAAACCTGAAGAGTCTATCTTGACCAAAATAAAAGAATTGTAATGAGTACTGCAGAGTCTGAATCATGCATCTGTAAACATAGCATTTTATTGACAAAATGTTTACACCTCTCTTGACACCAGTTTAATAGTGATGGAGCATGCCATACTCTATAAAAGCATACAATGGAAGTTGAGTTGAAGAAACACTGTCCCAAAGTGTGCCAGATTTACCACCTGCAAACAGAAGCACACCAAAGAAAAATCTTACAACAAAAAGCAAAAGGTGCTTTCTTTTTCCAGCATTTATAAACAAAACAGATACCATAGAGTTTACAGACTTAGGTCCAGCCCAAGGTCAGACTGCAAAAACGGTCATCAAGCATCCATACAGGCTTGGCAAACCCTTGTTCCAGTATTGTGTTCCAGGTAACCAGGCAGTACAGCGTTGTGAAGCTATGGCTTCCAGTGCAGGCTGTTGAGAGTGTTACCAGGCTTGGGAAAAGCAGGAACAACTCGCTTTTCATACAGAGGCTATTAAAACAAGGCACAGGGCACTTACTCCTTGTGCTGGGTCTTGACAAGGGATGGCACTCTCTCAAAGGACTGCTGGTACAAGGGCTTCAGTTTTCTTTTCTGTCTAGGGTTTGGACTTTAAACTCTTTAACAGGTGCTCTCCTCCAAACTTCGTGGAGGTCTGGTATGTCGGCCCACCATCCTATCACCTGTGACAGGTCACATTCTGTCAGTCAGTTGTGCTTGCCTTGCGGGTTTCATGCTGCCCTTCTGGGAGTCCCGGGGGCTCTTTACTCCACAGGGAAGGGCATGTCATGTGTGCTGAGGTGGCTGGGGCAGGGTGACTGAGGGAGAGCCCACAGAAAATGAGAGTAAGGCAAGAATTTGTTGTCAATCATACAGAAGGCAGGCCGTAATTTCTGAAGGTCAGAGCTGTGATTGATGATGGTGTGAGTCACTCATGATGTAAAATGATGGAAAGACTGAGTTGGACGTTAAAAAAAAAATCCTTCCCAGGGCAATAAGGCTTTGTCTACAGAACACAACAAATGGTCTAAAAATAGAGCCACGATCAGGTGCTCTGATACCCAGCTGTCACTCATCCTCCCCCACCAATCTGACTGGTCCCTCTGATATCATGGGCGTGGTCCAATTGAGAAAGTTTCAGGCACCATGTAGTAATTTCAAACAGGGATGGGAGGAAAAAAGTTCCAGCCTCACTTCCAAGCTTCCTCAAGGGGTAAAAAGGATAATTTAAGAATAAATGCCAATAGAGGGACTCTGGGAGCCCATGCCACGTGGAGGGATGCTCTCTCAGCCTGGACACATGAGGAAGAACCTGGGCCATTCCCAGGATGATGTAACGGACTCTGGAAATCTCTCATGGAGGCCCTTGCCCTCCCTGGGTAGTAGAGGGGGGGATGGAGTGGGGGTGGGAGAGGAGGGGAGGGAGAGGGAACTGAAAGTGACATGCGTAAAAAGTTAAATAAAAAATATAGGGAAAAAAGTATAAATGCCAAGTGTTGATGAAGGTCAAACAATGCAAAGTTTAGTTTTCAACACAAACAGTATTGTGGGTAGGGTCTGGAGCCGGTGAGCATGGGGTAGACTCCAGCCTGGCTGAGCAAGTGACTGAAACCCTGCTTCATGGAGTGTGTGCTTTGTAGAGCACACGGCTGGGCGGTAGCTGCCTTGGGGACTCCTAGACAATGTAAGCTCTGTGTAAAGATGGTTCCTCCAATGGACTGCAGTATACAACCTGCCTCGCAACTCTGAAAAGTTCCTGAATCAAGAAGTGGCATGAGGAAACCAGCAGGCTGTTTCTACTGTGCGATTAAGGAGGACATTAAGACCCACGCTAGAAAACTGTCAATTAGAGGAGGCTCCTAAAAAGTCATTACTGTCTTAGGACTCTCCATTAATTGGCAGACAGAGCTTGGCACTCAAGTCCTGTCTGTGGAGACCTACTCGGGTTTTTGCTTGTTGTAATTATGCAACATTTTGATGAGGCACCGGGCACCAGAAAACGAACTCAATAGCAAATTAAAACATTTTTTCTCCAAGTTTTTTAGACATTATGGTTTTAATCTCATCATCTACTATTTATATATTCTAATCTTGCTATCTAAAATGTTCAACATAATGAAAGGAATCGATGGAAGGTCTGAGATCTTTTTTTTCTTTAGTAAACTTCTGAATCCTTTTGTTTTGAAGCCAAAAATAATCTAGCACACCTCTGATTGATTGCCGTCTGAGAGGAAAGAACACAGATATTAGTTATTTCTGATGGGACAGACCATCAGATTAAACTTGATCTATGTGGTGGAGTCCTAGCTCCAGAGAGTAAATCACCCCTCCGTGCTCTGAGTACCCTGAAGGACGAGCTAAGAAATACGGCGATTCCAAGCTCTGTTCATTTACCCTTCTCAGCATGCCTAATGAACTTCATCTGTGCAGGCCCCTCACTCATCACCTTCTGAGATGCAGAAGGAAGGCTCCCGAGAAGGGCAATACCCTTCTAATATTTTTTAGAGTTTCATTTGCACATAAAACAGGACAAATGCCCTGGAATTCCATTAACATTTCTCGCAAATCAGATAATCGAATTGCCTGGTTTTCTATTCCTGGAAGTCGAGACAAGCCTCTCTGCCGTCACAGGAAATTCACTGAGGTCATTCTTCTGAGTCTCAGGCTAAATCCTACCTGACCCTCCTTTTCTGAAATTGCAGCGTTCTGCTTATCTCCTAGATAATTGGCTGCTGAGAATATTTTAAATTATGACATTTATTGGTGTGTGTGTGTGAGTGTGTGTGTGTGTGTATGCATACGCACGAGGACCAGTGGAGAAGAGAGGACAACTTGTGGCACCAGCCTTGGCAGCAAGCGCCTTTACAGAGATCTCACCGACCCAACTTAAAAAAAATCACTCATGGGCTATCTTAAACCATCACCTTTTATCACTGAAGCTCCACCCCCGAGGGGAGGCACAGTTAACAGCTTGAGCCTTGAAGGTAGATCCCATTTCTTCCTTAAAAAACTGATGAAATCAAACAGTTAACAGAAGTTGTGCTGCTCGTCCGTTTCAAAACCAATTTCGATCAGGACTTGCAAGGGTTCCAGAGCGAGCTCCCCACCAATCAGGACTTACAAGGGTTCCAGAGCTAGCTACCCACCAATCAGGACTTGCAAGGGTTCCAGAGCTAGCTCCCCACCAATCAGGACTTGCAAGGGTTCCAGAGCGAGCTCCCCACCGATCAGGACTTGCAAGGGTTCCAGAGCTAGCTCCCCACCGTCATCCTGCACTCATCAGCACCAGCCTGAAGAGCCTGGTACAAGCCGCCCATGCGGCTGCCATGCTCTGAAGCATGGTCTGAGGTGAGGGCAGAGCTCGGGGTTCCCAGTTACCTGTCCCCGGGGAAGACTGTCTCCTGACCCCTGGAGGGTCTTGCGGACATATGGGTGTCCAGGGGCCAGGTACAGAGATCACAGTATGAGGGCTTCTGTGGCACAGTCTCTGTGGGTTCCGGAAGGGTGAGTGAGGAATACCGAGCTGAACCCCATCAGCTTTGCAGGGTACCCCACACTGAACCCCTCATCCGAGCATGACACCTCTGAAACACAGCAGCAGGCCCTCTGGCTTGGGAGCCTCTTGGGTGCCAGGTGACAGGACACCCTCAGCTGTGTCTCTTGAGACATTTAGAAAGCCCCCAAACCCACTCTCCTCCTGGAGACAAGGAGCACATGTAAGACTCACAGACACATTCTAAAACTAAATGTAGGTCACTGCCACCTCCGCCTCTCATATGTCATGCATTTAAAAATCCAGAGACTCTCAACAAGGACACTGGCCTCTTCAAGTGGCCATGTCCCTCATAAGAAGATCTCGATCCTCTGACCTGGGTAGGCGTTCAAGAACAGGAGCACAATGACAAGAGGCGGGCACTTCGTGAACGGGGAGCGAGGGCCCAGGCTATTTTTAAGGAAGAAGTCTCTCAGCTGCCATGCACAGTGCTTGTCCTGGCTGGGGCTGACAAGCAGGCAGTGGCATTTCACTGGGAACCAGAAGGGCTTGCAGTAGGTGTTTCTCTCCAATCACTTCTCACAGAGTTTACAGTGAAGGACACTTAATCAGACTCTCACTTTATGTTCTTTTAATCACCAAATGATAGTTAATTAGTTATCACAGAATCAGAAAAACACTTATGAAAAAGAGGAGATCGAGACACCAGTGGTTCCTAGGATTGGACACCTGCAAGGAGCTTATTTCAATTTCTCTGAAAGAAATCAATACACACTGGCAGTTAATTAAAGATCTTTCCCCTTCTGTTCAGTCTTCAAAGTTTTTAAAAATGGCCCTGCATCATAGGGAACCACAGATTTTTAAGGAAGGGCTAGGTCTTAATGCCTTTGGAGTCTGGCTATTTCTCTTAAGAAATAACCAGGAGAGCAAGAAATGTGTGTTAGACTCCTGTTTAATCTAAAACGTGGTCAAGATAAAGCACTGTGTCTGACTACATATTAATATGCTTTTTATAAGAAGAGCATGCATGGAGCTCTCTCCCTGTGCTCATGAACACAGGTGTGGGCCTGGCTGGAGTCTGGTATCATGAAGCAGCCCATGATACGACAGGCAGGGCAGCCCCGTTCATTTCCTGGACAGACTGGTGACAGAGAGGGCATGAAAGACAGGAACACAGGGCTCATGCTGCTCATCCTACTGGCAACACATGCAGCTCTGGCCAGAGTCGTTCCCTACATGTGACAGGCACAAGAGGGGATTAGCTAGGGAAGCTGCCATGCGCCACAGAGGAGAGGAGAGTGGCCATTGACTATGCCACAACTTCCACAATTTACCGGGCTGTTCAGGTCATGAATGTATACCATCTTTTGGTGAATGAGACAGAAAGGGTCTCACGGGGGCCGCCTACTCCACAGGAGCCAAGCAGCTTTGTGTGTTTTGTCCTGGAGACAGAGGTCTGGCATGGGAATGCTGGAGACACGCCAGGCGGGATCCCTGCCTTCCTGCAGGTGTATGTCACGTCACATCAAGCCACCGTGGGTGCAAGGAGCCCAGCCTTGGGAAATCGCTGGGTTTTCTCATGTGTGCAAATCTAACGCTGTGCAGCAGGCTCAGGATGAGGTGACGGGGTCCATACAAGGCGCAGCAAGTCTGACGTCAGTCAGGGTGAACACCTGAGGTACTTACAAGGCCTTGCTCAGGGCTGTGTCATCGGGGCTGCCCTTCCCTTAAAACCTCTCCATTCTAAGCACGTAGGGGAGGGGCATAAAGTAGTAACAACTGTTTTGAAAAGTTTTGACTCTTCAGTTAAGGATAGCTCTGAAAACACAATTTGGCTTGAAATTCAAGCTGTTTCATTTCCTATTTAATCTTGTAAATTTCCTTCCGTTACAATACGCGGGCTGGAAGGGTGCCAAATTAGGCCAGGAACAAATTTCCAGCAGTTTCACTTGGGGGCTTTATTTTTAGGTTATATTAAGAACCTCATTAGGTTCCTGAGGGAAGAGTGCAGAGCACTAACAGAGGCAGGAGGAAACAAAGGAGGAGAGGTGAGCCGACTGCCAGCAAGCGAAACGCTCAACACAGTGGGTCTGAGCTCACTACTGCCAGGGCCAGGTGAGTGACTGATGGACAGGCCAGGCTCCCACTTGCCCCAGGCTAGGAAGGACTGGTCAGGCTCGTCAGGGCATATGTCTTTATTACCACGTGAGCTCAGCGCTCCATGCTTCTGCACAAGGTGAATGCGCTTCAACACCTCCTGGGGACCAGCACACAGCTAAATGGAGAACTAAACGGAACTCAGAAGTTACTAATGTATTTACATAATTTATAATTTTTAAGCAATGGTCTCATAAATATAGACTACAAATTTACATATGCTAGGCAGCGCACATTTTTCTCCCCCATCAAAATACCTGGGCCAAAAAACTTAAAATCATTTCCTTTGTCTTTCCCTCTTCTTTTCAAACCACTGCCCCTCATGAATTTAGACACACCGGTAGCGTCTCTACACCATCACCTGAACCACGAGAGCTTATTTAGAAAGGTAATGACAAAACTAAAGTGTGGGTGACACATTCAGGGTCAGAAGTGAGCCAGGCCACTGCCACCACGGTGTTAATTCACTGTGCATGAAAGTGCTTTAGAGATGGTGGAGACCGTCCCAGGGCCACCCATCCCTCCACTTGAGATCACTTTCCACATCTTAAAGGACACAACGCTGACACTAGAGACAAGGACCGAGGAGATGTCCATCTCCACAGGCTTTTCCCTTAAGATCTACAAAAGTGCTCATCCCCTTCACAAATGACACATGGCATCCTGATTACGAAAGTACCAGCAACTCCATCCTAGGTCAACAGCCAATGATGTGGTCCCTTTTCCCGGCAGAGTCTACGACAGAAGTCTGCAGAGGAAACCCTGCTGAAGCCTTCCAAGAGAAGCAACAGCCAGTCCCTGAGTCCTTGTTGCATGGAGAAGACTCCAGGGCACGAGGCAGCCGCCAGTGGCAGGGACTGGCCCTCCTCCAACACCCAGGACCACCTGGGTCGTCGTCAGCAGCAGCTTCGCTTTGGCTCCGACGGCTGTCTTCGGAGTTTGAAGCCCTTGCCGCCAGACGGCGGGTTGGCATCTGTGGATGGAATTCTTCGGCCTGCACCAAAGGGAGAGGAGAGGAAGCACAGCTTTGATTTCCTAATCGGTTCCTTCTCAGACACAATTTTGGCAATGCAGCATGACAGTTTCATTGCGGTAAGACAAGGAAGATGACCAAGATGACAGGGACAGAGTATGTCTGTTCACTCTGACCAGCATCACCTAACATTAACCCAAAGCACACTTGCCACAGTGAAGAGCACAATATTGCCATGGCACCAGAAGTCGCCAGTCTTTCAGATGTCACCAGTTCTTGAACTAATACATTTCTATTCCAGGACCCAAATAAGGATACCAAACAGTATTTAGCAAACCTTCTAAATACAAAAAAACAGACTAAAAAGATTTTCTCTCGAGTCAGCAGACACATGCACATTTGGGGGAAAACAAAAAACAAAACCCCAAAATGACCAACATGTTTGGTGCCATGTCACACGGCAGGGGCCATCACAGGCATGTGGATACTCCCAGACTGTTCCCAGGTCCTCTGCCGCTCAGGATGGTCCCTTACAGTACAGGGTGGGCTGCTGCCGCTCTGAATAGCTGAGCGTGTGCACTGTCTCCCCAACTAAGCATTCCTCGGCTGGGGGCACCAACCCTCGGTACTCGAGAGCTGTGAGCACTAACTGTGTGGGGTAAAGAACGGGAGGCCAGGAGCCAGGGCATGGCTCCACCCGGGGCATTTGTCTGACACGCACCAAGTTCCCAGCCACCACTTACTGCAGTTTAACTTTTGACAGATGCTGCCAAGCTGCTCTCTGAAGAGGCTGTGGCATTTTATCTCCAGCGACAACGCAGGGGAGGGACAGGCTTCACTTTACTGCTCTTCAATCACCGTCCACCCACCTGGCTGTTATGGCTCAAGGCTGCTGCTTGTACAAAGGCTTTCCTGCCCTCTCCTTCTGTGCTATTCCAACCCTCATGTGCCACAAAGCACCAGGACACCAGCAACATGCAGCGCCAGGTTTTAGAGAAAGGCTTTCTGTATGTCTGTCTGTTTAAAGAGGGAAGGAATTACAGCACAGGGACATGTGACATCAGCAAGACTGACCGAAAATCCCTGGCAACCCTCTGGGTGTGGCTGCAAAGTCTTGAGGGATGCCCGCTGTTAACCTGTGCAGACAGTGCACAGTATGACTTCTACATGGACAGAAAGTGCTCTACAACTTTCCAAATGTGTTGCGACACTGCTGTGAATAAATCACAAATGTAGTTAAGCATCTCGAAGGTTCTTGTCAATATGGTTCTCTCAATAAAGGGAAACTGAAATATAGCTGGTACCACAGAGGTAACCGTGAAATGTGACAAAAGATTCTCAAATGTGAGAAAAGTGTTTTAGAAGAAAGCAGGAGACAGCTTGATGGTCTGGGCATGGCCAATGGTTTCGTAAGCAGGAACTGCGCTGACCACAAAGGAAAATAAGGACAAAGTGAATTCGGATAAGGCTAGGAAGCTCAGTTCATTGAGGGACTGATTCAGAAGGCCAAGGGGCAGGTATTTTAGCACACATAGTCAAGCAGGGACTGAGGTCCAGAGTAAAGTACAGTCGTCAGGAAGAGGGAGGGTGACTCAGCAGAAGTCAGGCAAGAGATAAAGGGCTCTGAAGAAGAGGACACCAGCTACTGTCCAGGTAGAAATCCACAAGCGGACAGGCACTCTGCTTCAAGGCAGACATGGAGATGCAGGACCTGCCTCTCCCACAGACTGATGGGAAGAAATCTTGTACACCACTGCTGAGGGCGGCAGCTGGCACAACTGTCACTTTGCAAACTGTTTGGCAGTAAAGTCACAGTGAACACATGCAAACCTAATGACCCAGCAATTTTTCTCTTGGGCACTGAGATACTGAGCAAAAATGCATCCAGATGTTCCCTAGAGGACATAGGATGTTCAACAGAGCAGCCTGCAATTGCCCTAAGTTAGAAACAACTGCCCAATGTCTGTCAACAACAGAAGGTACAATTATACTGTCAACAGTCCCTATTTCTTCCTTTCCCAACCTTGAGTTCTGACACTAACATATATACTAGCCTCATGAATGCATCTTTTGCAGCTGTATGGGATGGACAATTTGGACACGTGATGCAGAATGGAAGCTGGACACAGAAGGGTAAATAGGTATGACAATGTAGCTGGGAGAGACTGCCTAGCACACGTGAAGAACTGGGTTCAATTCTCAGCACCAAACAAACAGGCATGGCGGTGTGGGTACACTCTAGGAGTCAGGAGGGAGAGTAAGGAGGCCATCAGAGTCGCCCTCATCTTCATCCTCAGTCACAGGGGGTGTGAGGCCAGGCAGGCTACAGAAGCTGGGGACAGTGGGCGGCAATGGAGGAAATGTAGCAATAAAGCGCTGGCGCGCGCCTTTGATCCCAGCACGTGAGACACAAGGGCAGGCGGATCTCCGTGAGTTCAAGGCCAGCCTGGTTCACAAGCGGAGTTCCTTCAGTTATCAGGCTGGGTCACCCTTGGAGTGGGAGCAGCTGTGCTTCTCTGATTGCCAAGCCATTCCCTTTGCGTGCTTCTAAAACTGACCTTTCCTATATGTACATTATGCTTCAACCCAAACCCCTGTGCTAGGCACAAGTTACCTGACAAAACTCACTGAGAAAAAACTAAGGATGACCCCTGTCTCTGTCTGGTTGCGAGTGTGCAATATGTCTCTGTCTCTTTCTCTTTGCAGTGCTGGCAACTGAACCCAAGGCCTTGAACATGTCAGGGAAGACTACCACAGGGCTACATCCTGCTTGTGTAAGTTTTGGTGTAAGAATTTGCTGGTTATAAAGTTCACTACCTGTTTATTTTTAAAACTGTTACAGTATATAAAAAGAAGCCACAACAAAAACAAGAATCATTTCAACATGTGACCCACTGAACCTGTCTACCTAATAGTGATGAGCGCCATGTCCCTATCCTGAAATGAGGAGAAACGCCTCAGGGAGCCAGTGGCAGACCACTGGCTGTGATGCTGCCAACGGCTCTGAAAAGGTTTAAATTAGTGCTCAAATTAAAACAACAGAGCACATACATAAAAATCCAGATCCCTGGGCCATCTAAGCTATCACAGGACTAGATGTGTGGACTCTGTAAAGTCTAGCACTTTGGAGACTGAGGCAGGGACTGCTGTGAGTTCAAGCCTGAGTTACAGAGTGAGACTCTGAGACCCTGCCTCGAAAAGGAAACACAAAGAACAAAGCATGCCTAATCTCTAGACACCAGCATGACCTGACTGCTGCTATTGGTCCAGCCCTCGGGGCCTGCACTTAGGCTCCTTGGGGCAGTCCCGACTGACTCTGGTGGTCCCTGCCATTCATGATTCTCACCTTCACTCAGGCCAAGAGTTCTTCTAGCTTGCAGCTACTGTGGCTTTCACCCTAAGGGCAGTTAGTGGGTAAACACACAGTGCTTGGGTAGCTGCTCCCTCCATTTGGGAGCCAGATGTGCTCTGTAAAAGCAGTCATCCCACTGCCTCAGCAAGGCCTTCATCAGGCCTCTGCTTCCAACTCTCTTCCCCAGAGGGGCTTTCCTGGATGCTCTGCACACATGCTGACATCTATGCCATTGCTTTCTTCCTATCTCTTATTATTGTGCGAAATGATCCTATTCATCTGGAGTTCACTGCCTGACTTGCTCAATGGAACATACACTCCAGGGGAGCAAGGGCTGTGTCTATCTTCTTTAGGCTGGGTCCCTTGAGTCTGCAACAGTTCCCAATAAATATTTTGATGAATGTGAATGAAATGAATAAGCACAGAAGCAATCTGCAGAGAATCCCAAAGGCACAGAGCAGCTTCTCTCACCACCATCAACACGCAGGCAGGCACTCTGAAGGAAGAGAAGGGGAGAGGCCTGACCTTCCTTGCCAAGGACTGAGTTCTGGGGCTTTCTTACAGACAGACCACACGCACACTTCAATTCCCTTGAGCTGCTCTGTTCTTTTTCCTCTAGAAATCTGGAGTATTTTGCCCTGTGCATGAGTGTCTGTGTAAAGGCACGTGCACACAAGGGTGGCCGCATGCACCAGCGCTGGGTCTCCCTGGAGCTGGAGGTAAAGGTGGTTGTGAGCACGAGGTAGGTCCTCTGAGAGAGCAATGTACGTTCCCCGCTAAGCCATCCTTTCAGACTCTTGTGTTCGCTTCTGATGGCCTTGCAGGAATAACTGAGGCACGGTCAGGAGAGCAGAAGGCAGCTTGGACACTGAGAGACGTTCTTTCTGGGAAGGTGCTCACTACTAAGCAACACCTCTCCAGAAACCCCACTGCGACAGAGACACTGGCTGCCCTCAATGGCTCAAATCTCCTTTTGTGGGTGCACACAGCCTCAGAAAGAAAACTATTTGCATTTGCCCTTAACAGAGGAAACCCCAGAGTTGCAGATACTTACTAATTTCTATAAAGAGTTCATTTATGTTTATCGCATTTTTTGCGCTGGTCTCTACAAAGATGGCATGAATGGAATCGGCGTAGTCCTTAGCATCTCTCTCCATGACTTCTCTGGAAGGCAACAATTGCTAATCAGAGGTTCTGTCCCTTGAGATCTTCCCCTCACCCCACCCTACACAACACAACAGTATCTGGATCAGTTGTGGCATGAGTCCAGACAGACTTTCTCATTATACGACCTTCCTGACAAGATTTTCTCCAATCTCTATACTAAACAAACAACCCCTCTCAAAACAAAACAAAACAAGGTCCTTGCTCTGAGAATCAGATGTGGTACCCTGAAACTGTCAATAAGATGCACTTTTTGTATTCAGTTACTCTGTGACATAGCAGCCTGAGAGGCAATGATCTCAGATAATGTCATGTGTGATACCAACAATGTTTGAGTAAATTACACGCCTGTCTACATGTAATATAATTAACTCCAAATGCTTTTAGTCTTCATTTTAGCTTGAAACTTTAGGGCCAACCACGTAACACAAGAAATTTTTCAATGTCAGAGATAAAATAAAAGCTAGCCTCTTACCATGGGTCTGGCTCATTAGAGAAGGACATGTCATCGGCATAGGAATCTCTTGACTAATAGCTCACCTGACGTCAGTAAGATCACACTTGTTCCCTGCAATGGCGACAACAATGCTAGGGGGGCCGTGCTGTCGCAGCTCTCTCACCCAGTTCTTCAGCGTTGAAAACGTCTCCTGCAACACAAAAGGAGAGTAGCTGGAGGCCTGAGCAACGGACAATAATGGCCAAGAAGAAATGAATAAAGTCTTACTTCTTTTGTGATATCATAAACGATGATGGCTGCTGCTGACCCTCGATAGTACATCGGTGCCAACGCACGAAACTGCAGAGGGGAGAAGAAGGGATGAAACTGGGACAGCCAGTTAAGGATGCCCTCTTAGCAGACTGTGAAGTCCATTATCCCTGCACAAAAGGTAATCTTTCTCTGAAGCCACACAAGATGACACAATGGTTCACAGCAAATGAACCTGTGACTACTAACAGCCGAGGTAGTACTGGAATGTCGCGTCAGACAGTCTAGAAAACAGCTTTATAGGAATGGAATATGGGGCTATAAACAGTTGTTTCAGCCAAGAAAGCTTTGTAATTGAACGCAACATTCTGATTCCTAAATTCATTTGCTCATAGTCCTATGAACGGGGCTTCCCAAACTAAGGAGACAAAAACTCTGCTAACTGTAGTCAAAAGGGTCAAGGACACTATGGGAAGGTTCATACAATTAACTAACCCAGGATCACAGGGGCTCGCAGAGACTGAATGGGCAATCGTGGAGCCTGATGGGACTGACTTAGTCCCTCTGCACATGTCACAGTTGTGTAGCTTGGTCCTCTTGTGGGGCCCCTAACAGTGGGAACAGGAGCTGACTCTCAACTCTTTGCTGGCTTTTAGGATCCTACTTCCCCTACTGGGTCACCTTGCCCATCCTTAATACATGGGGAGGTGCTTAGTCTTACTGCAACTTGCTATTGATACCATGGGAGACCTGCCCTTTCCTGGATGGAGACGGAAGAGGAAGGGGTTAGGGGGTTGGAGTGGGGTCGGGGGTAAGGGCTGGGAGGGGGTTGGGAGGAGAGGATGGGGAGGTCTGCAGCTGAGATGTAAAAATAGAAGAATTAAAACAAACAAAAGCCACTGCTGTAAACAGTTCTGGACATGAATGCACACTAAAGTCACTACCTGAATGAGTTTGCAACTTGCTGTTCTGACATCGGCATGCACAGGGCTCACGTCATTCCCACAACGTCACACAGTAAGCACGGTTTGTGCCTCCTCACGCCACCCATAAGAGAGGGACTTGGAGAGAGGACTATCAATTCAGCAGGCCATTTCTTTGGAGAAGAGTGGGATTAAAAATGTGAAGCTCTTTCCTCACTCAAATCTGGGTCTTGAGCAAATGTTCTAGTGTGGCTTTCCCCTATCAAGTATCATGCCTTTGTCTTGTGCCTGGTCCCTGAGAGGGCCGCAACATTCCTGTATTGTATCCTGCTCCCTTTGTGATGGTTGGCTGGAGGCATTATTCCCATGGTATACATACTTTCAGCATGCCTGTGACCGTCCTTCTGATAAAGTAGCGACATTAGAACTGTAATCCCATGAGGGAAGGTGTCATGGCTGCTAGGGACCTCAGGCACTAGAGGATAACCAAGAGCCACAGCCTGGCTGGTTTCAGTCCTCTTTGCACCCCCCCCATTTAAACTGCTGAACTGACTTACCAGTAAAAGAGACCGAGACAGTGAATGCAGGCGGAGGGAACTAGGATCATGGCCCTAGCTGCCTCCATTATGGATGTATTTGTGATGGCAACATCCTTTAGAGGGTCACCGCTTTCTCTACAGTTTTGTGATGGGAAAGTCACACCAAGAAAAGCAGACTGCAAGTCTACAATGTGTAAGCTGACAAATGTAAATCCCCATGCAAATGCTCATCACAAAGACAAAGTCTCTGTCAACACAGATGATCCCTGAGGCCTGTAACCTTGGTAACCCTTGCCCTCAGGTCCATCTGCAGAGGAACTATAACCACAGTAGTGGTGGCTTTTTCCTTTCTGCTTATAATCCACATAGAATATCCCTTTTCCAGCCTCTCATTTTCTCTCCTTTGTGCATAGGTGTGCATGTTTCTTTAAGCACCACAGCTGAGGTTTGTCACATGGCAGTTCTTTCACCTCAGCCTGGCCTTGGTCCTTTTACAGCTAAGAACATATGCTGTGTTTGGACACAGGTCTAGGGCTTTGTTGCAAATTTGTTCAAATTTTAAAAAATACCTGCTCTTCCTTCCTTCCTTCCTTTCTCCACAGTGACTAAGTTTTAGTATCCTTGGTGGTCTCAAATTCATGTAGCCAAGGATGACCCTAACTGCTGATACTTCCCTCAGTTTCCTGAGGAAGGGATTATAGACATGAGGCACTGCTCCTGGCCTATGCAGTGCTGGGGACCAAACGCTAGGCTTAGTGTGTCCAGGCCCCGCCCCCACCTCTTAGCCTTTTAGCGGTACTTTTCTGCATTACTTATTAGGTGGTCGTTCTTGCAACTACAATATAAGTTTTTTCTAATCCACTTCTAATTTAAATGTACGCCTCCTATAAGACATCTACCCTTGCCTGTAGAACCCTGCATTGAGTCTAACGCTGTTTACTCCCCTCTCTTTGGGTGCTGCTCTCAGTGTCAGATGCACACACTATCGCTGCACACAGCAGCTGGTGCCTGCAGCTGAGAAGAAGAGCGGTGCTCTCTGCCCTCCAGCACCTGCAGTGCTCATTATTTCCTTCTGTGGGCTCTGAGGGGCCACTCTGGCTGCCACTGCTGAACGCTCTGCTCTCACTTTCTCTAAGACTACTTTGATTTTGTATCTGGAAGACGATCTTGGCAGACTGACTTGTTTGTATGCCCACAGCATGCTAAAGGTTTTGTCTATCAGCGGCCTGCACTGCTTCTGGGAGAAGCAGACCCCCACTCACACTGCTCTCTGGCATACGACATATCCCTGGCCTTTTGAGCGCTTTCTCTGTATCTTCACTCTGGCAGTTTGACTAGGGTCCTTGTTGCACTTACAGGTTTGCTGAAGCTCTTGAGATTGGAGAGTAAGAGTTCAGCCATCAATTACAGAATTGGGGCCTTTAACCTGCACCCCATCCCGTTTCGTTCTCCTGGGTGCCAGGCTCTACTTTATTCAGCTGCTGACTTTCCTGGCCTCTCCTCCCTTGGTCCCCAAGTGATCTGTTCTATTGTCCACCCAGCCAACATTTCTTTGTGACACTGGCTTTCCATCATGTCCCTCATCAAGTTCTCCCACCCGCAGTCAGTCTGCCACTCTTGGAGCCTTTAGATACACTTAAGGGCACACTTTCAACTCTTGCTGTAGATGGTTGTCACAGGGCCGGCCAGCCTCCTTGTGTCTCCACACACGTGACAATTAGGATGGCACACTGGCCATGTCTCCTGCACTGCACTGCCATGTTGAAATCATCTTCACACTGATGTTGTGCACTGTTAGGATGACTCTATGTGGGCTGGATCTGAAACCCTGGACACTGTCTCTCTTCTGAGTAAGTCTCTCTGATGAGCCTTTTCCTCCTGCTGCTTGCTGCTGGGTTTTGCTATGTCCCCTCTGCACATTTGCTTAGGCTTGAGGGGGCTTCTAAACAGGGTTAGGGCCCTTCTCTCTGGGGTTGGGGTTAGGGTTAAGCTTAGAGCCCTCCTCTCTGGGCTTAGGCTTAGGCTTAGGGCCCTCCTCTCTGGGACGCATCTTTCCAGGGCTCACTCCTTTTGCCCAGTGTTCTAGTACTCTCAGACAACATCTTTTCGCTATCACAATCTTAAAAAGGCATTTTCTGCTGGACTCCTTGTTACTCCAGGCTACACTCTTGGGAGTTAACTGGGCATGCCTGTGAGGCCTAGACGATGCCCGTGCTATGCTGCTTCAGCCTTGGTCACTGGTTTGTTTGGCCGCACTTTCAAAAAGCTACTTTGTAAAGTCTTATCCAACATTTACCAGTCGGGCTGGACATTCTGAAGTCTCCCATACTGTTTTGGTGAAGAAAGAAGATGGACACAGATAAGTAAGAGTCCAAAGATGTCATTGCATCTTTACCCCAAATCTGGCTCTGGATCAGGGGACAGCACAAACTTTCCCTGTTGAGGACTAGACAAGAAATAGCTTTAGATCTGTGACCCTGTAATTTGTGTCACAGTATTATTCCATTTTTGGACCAGGATTACTGTGGAGTAAAAGCACAGACAAAATGAAGAGATAAGCGTGCCTGTGTTCCAATAAAACTTTATTTACAACAGTAGATGGCTGGTTCAACATGGCCCATGGTCTCCAATCCCAGTTCTGGATGCTCCTAAACTATCCTTGTCCCAATCGAAGCACTAACAACAACTGCTTATGTGAATACTGTGAGAACTGTGCCTTACGCTGTTCTGACCACTGAGGAACAGGAAGCCAGAACAAGCACAGGAAAACAAGGGTTGGAAATATGGCTGTTAGAGGTGTGGCTGAGACGCCGTCTAGACTGTCACGTTGTTAGGCAGCGCTGGGGTGCTGCCCTGCATTTATGGTGCACTTATGATATACATTCACAGTAGCCATCTGTGTGCACACTGAGCCGCCTTGGCACATCCCAGAAGTCTTAGTGAAGGGCAAGTGGGACAAATGGTAACAAAATGAGCTCACTCAAATTGTAAACAGTGGACAAAGGACTCACAAATGCCCAGTCTTAAGAGAACAAATTTAATCATGAAAACAAGTTTCATTTAATCTGGCATTTGAAAACCCTCAGGCTTATTTTTACAGCAGGAGCTGATTTTTAGAGAAGTCTGAGTCAGTGAGGAGATAGCCTGGGGAGCTGCTTCTGCTGGAAATGTACAAGAGCACAACATGGGACCTTTCATTTCAAAGTGGACTCTCGTAGGCCTCACAGAGACATTTGCTTTAAAAAAAAAAACCATCTGAGGGCTCCAGGCTGTTTTCCTAGGTGCTGCTTAACCCTGTGCTATACAAACACTGTCTTCTCAGCACTTTTCGTTTTACTGTAAGAAGCCCCCCAGCCAAGGACTCGCATACCATTCAATTCTTATGTGCTTTCATCAACTTAGTGAAATCACTTTGCCATTGTTGGAAACTTGTCAGAACTATATTTGGCCACAGATGTGAGGGTCAAGCGGGGAGGACGCTTGTTCAGTTCATCAAAAAGCCTCTTCATTCTGCAATGGTCGTGGGTCCCCACCACGAATCTCAATCCTACAGGAAGCTAAGCAACACACACGCTAACACCAGAAACCTATCTCTGGAGTCACGCACTGCCCACAGCAGGCACAGAAGTCTGTCCCCATCTGTCAGAAGGTGGCTACCAACCAGCCGACGGAAGCACTAACACCAATGCCAGGTGCCAAGGGCTGGAGCACACACCAGGGCAGCCCCTGTCTCTCAAAGAGGTCACAGTCTAAATGGAAGATAAAAGTAAGAAAATAGGCGACAATTCCATGACTGAGGGCAAGCAAAGACTGTCCAGGATAGAGTTCATTTGCTGCCACCCAACTAACCCTGGGCATTACTTTGCCTTTGGGTATTGTGTCAGCACTGAGACTACAGCAATAAGCAAGACACTGCAGGCCCAGATCTTGACAGTTACATCTTGATGGAAGAAGCCGTCAATAAAGGCAGACAGACGAGCAGACATTACAGCTTGTGATGAGTGTCTTGAAGATGAACACTGACAACGAAAGAGAATGAACCACAGACCCTGCTCAGGTAAGGGGAGGAAGGGAAAACTCCGAGGAATGACATTTAGCCTGAGGCTAAAAGCTGGTAAGATGCCTTCAGTGACAGAGGAGACATGTGACGATGAGAAGAGCGGTGCACGTGAAGCCTGATGGCAGGCATGCATAAGGACCTACATGGAGGCCTGCATGCAGCGAGAGGAGCGGAGCAGGACACAGGGGCTGCACGGGTCCTCAGAACACAGACAGAGGCGAGGAGGGGCCGGCACGAAGACAGCAGTGTCTGATCAATGTTCCCCACAGTGTCTGGGTTCTCTGAGTAGTGACATGCATCAGGACTGGAGGGAGGGGAAACAGGGAGAGCCATCAAAAGGCTGCAGAAAACTTGAGTGACAGTGAAGGCAGCTGAAGCCAGCAGAGTGGAGAGTTGAAGACCTGAATGGCCAACTGTCAGAAGAATGCAAGAAGAGTCCAGATCTGAGTGTAAGAAGCAACCAGCGTGGCTAGGTCAGCTCCTCACGGGCAGCAGAGGTAGGCTCCAAAGGCTGGGCAGTGAATGGGCCAGAGATGGGAACAGAAGAGAATCTGGAGCTGTGTTGTACACTGGAGAAGCACACACGTCCCCTGCCCCAGAGCAGACAGACTGGCAGGAAGAGGTGGAGCGGAGCCCAGCTAGGGCAACCATACAGGGCTTGTAAGATCTAGCCCTGGACGAATGGGCAAATCCTTGAATGAACCCTGAAATCTAGAGCCCTGGGTATGTCCTTCTGCACAATGACTGGCCATGCAGAGTATTCCTCTCCTGATTCTGTTCCTGCTGCAGGGTCTCCTTGTCAAGCGCCCTGTCCCTGGCCTGGCCTTTCAGCATCTCCTGCCCTGCTCGGGGCTACAAGATGGCACTTCAGGTGAGGAAAGCCAGATTGAACCACAGAGCGGCACTATCTGCCAAAGAACCAATGGGAAGTGGGCAAGTAAAAGTCAGGCAGAGCAGACCGTCACAGCCCTCAGGCCCCTGTGACCACCTGAGTAGAGTGGGTCACTCCACTTTCATGGTATAAAAGTCACCATGATAATGGAGCCTGCCTAGCAGCATGTGAGCATCACACAAATCTGAGTGGGTAGGTGAGACCTGGGACCCAATAGGAGGGCACATCTATCACTTCTGGGAAAGTCCATGTGCTTGGCTAACACAGCAGCACAGTCCCAGCGCAGTGTGCAGACACACCTAGTAGGACTCTGGGAAGCAGCGCTTCTGCAGGATGGGGAAGAGCGACGGTTATGAAGGGCACCGCCGTCCTGACTCCACCAGCACAGAAGCGTGGCAGCTCCTGTAAGTGACGCACAGCATTATAGCTAAAGGCAGCCAGGGCAAGGCTGAGGCGTGGCCTCTGCTAAAGTGTGCCGTGCCTCCGACTGGGACCCAAGCCAGTGCTCCTCTGTCTGTGTGGCCTGATTCTTGTTACATTCTATGCCACACACAGTGCCTATGTGGTTTTAGATACGAGTGTGATGACAAACCCTTTTTCCTGATTGTGTCTGCGGGAACTTGAAGAGCTTAGCACAGTGTCATGCGTCTGTCAGGTGCTCTGTTTGCATAGAATGATTTGAAAACAAAATTAAACTGCAGCTGAAAAATGGGGTGACTATTGCAGCAGGCACCTCACCAGGGAAATTAGACTTAGTGCCCAGAATGGAAGGAGACCAAGGGTGCGCTTCTGTTTCCGCTACCCCGCCCCCACCCCAGTCCCCACCCTACTGTGCTGTGGACAGGCTCTCTGACAGGCATTTAAGAGCCTGTCGCCAGGCACTGCATTAGCTAATCTGTCCACTTAAACCTAAAGTTTATATGCTGTAAAGTTCCCTCTTTAGCCTTTAAAAGGCGGCTATAAATGAGCTGTGCTTAATTCTGCCTTTCTACCACTAATTCTTTTACAGCTTTATTAGAGGACAGAGCCCCAAATCACATCCTCTGCTCAAGGAACTTTATCAGGCCTGTTAGTCAGCATTTACTTTAAGACATTCAAAAGTATAAAAACGCCCTCGGTGCCCATTAGCACTTTCTCCATCAGTGGGCTGTGTGGCTCTAATTTAAAAGAAAAAGGTGGCCCATGAAAACGGAAGGGAGTGTGTCTGGTGCAAGTGAGGGACGGCAGATGACAGGGACACTGACAGTTTAGTGGGGCTGTGATTTGATGTGGGCCTCAGAAAAGCATAGTAAATTAAAGAGTGACTTACTCGTTCTTGTCCAGCTGTATCCCAGATTAGGAATTTATGTAGCTCATTTTGGTACTGGACAGTCTTGGTCATGAAAGATGCCCTATAAAGAGAGACCTAAGTGATGAGAACATAGTTATTTAACGCCCGTGTCCAGCCCCAGCTGGACTCACCACTTTGATTTGCACACAGGCTCCCAGCTCCCCACACATCCTCACCACGCCCCTCTGGAGTATTCAGACACTGGCTGCAGTCTCTGTCAAATAGAGAATTAGGCACATGTGCCTGGCAGAGGAGGAAGTCTGAGTTCCACATCAAAGAACCGAGAAACGGTAAGCCTCCTTTGTAAAACTCAAGGTGCTATGGCTCAAACAGGTGGGTGTCACGAGAAAACTTCCTTTAAAATAGGCTTATTTTATTATTGTGAGGCTGTTTGGTGTGTGCATGTGCACGCACGTGTGCACCAATGAATGCACTTACAGGAGAGAAGCACTTTCACCTGCGGAACCACTCGCTGGCCCCATGAGGAAGCTGTCTAAGGACCAATGTGCTCAGGGACCTGTGCAGTAGTCAAAACACCTCAGGCCATTTCGGGTTTCTCTGCCAGTTCTCAAACCATGTGCCACATAAACAGCCAAGTAAGAGCCAGGGCAACACTGGAGCTTAGAGTTATGGTGGTAAACAGGAGAGAGCAAGGACGGCTTCTGAGACAGTTGAATCAAGACCTCTGTACTGGGTGATCACAAGCTTCTCAGCCGAGGCTCGACATCAGTCACGGAACACGTCCCAGCCCATGGTCACACCAGATTTCTGTCTTTTGGGGGCCTAGCCATTTTGCAGGACTGTGAAAACTGCCAAGTGCCTGTGTGTTTCTTAGGAGCCTAGAGGCCACAGCACAAGCCTGCCACTCTCAGGGCTGTAGGCATAGCTCCAATGCTGTTTTCTGTCTTCTGTGGAGGTTTTGTCTTCCCACTCTGGTTCAAAGATCGTAGAAACAGTCCTTTGGGGTAAAGAGTCAAGCTGCACATTTTTTAAAGATGCAGTTCCCTTTGTAGCCTAGGCTAGCCCTGAATTCACAATCACGCCTTAGCTTCTGAGTGCTGAGATTTAGGTGTGAGTCAGCATGCCAGGCCTGAGCTGTACTCTTAAACTCTACCCCAATCACTGCAATCTAGACAATGAACTCAACGGTTAGACACTCTCAGACATGTGAGAACCTTGATTAGAGGTAATCTTCCAGAGAGAGCACTAGAAGGACCTCTGGAAGAATAGAATTCTTAGAAACCCTTATGCAAATTCATGGCCCAGCAGGCAGCCTCCCAAACTGGCTGCTAAGGCTGGAAAGTGAGTCGAGAGAGAAGCAGGGCCTGGTCACTGTAGGTGCTGAGAGAAGACATGTCTACACAGGTGTTACTGTTCAAAGGCAGCTCAGGGATGCTCAGCTGAAACTCTTCAATAAGTCCTCAAAGACTGCCTGCTGCTCAGCTCTGAGCAACTGCACTGTGTGCTACATGGGCCTGGCAGCAAGGGGAACACATACGTGGAGACTGTAGGCCGCACAGGCCAGGCTGCATCCTTGGTGGACAGGAAGCTTATGAAGGAAGATGCAAGATCAAGGGTTGTTTCCTTAAGCTCAGAATTCACGCCAAGTCCAGCGCACCTTGAACCAGTTCCTTTAATGAAGCCAGAGGACACAGACACAGCAGTGAGGTCTGCAGTGTCTGACAAGAATGAACCCCAGCACCCGTACAACTCTTCTTCTGTGGCGGGGCACTGCAGCTTCTCTGCTGTCCTGGAACTGAAGTTAACAGCCACTGTGGTTGCCCACAGGCTACTTGGCAGTTCATCACACAACCACCCAGCCAGCACAGCAGAAAGAACGAAGTGTCACTCAAACAAACGCAGCGGTCAGAGAAGGCTGTGCTCTGCTCGGCCAGGCCGCAGCAGAAGGAAGTGGTGCAGCTGGGCATGGCTGCCTTGTTGAGGGTCCCACCTGCCTTCCACAGTCAGCAGCTCCAACCCTGCACTAGCCACAGGGGTCACGCAAGAGCTGGGGCTGGGGCAGACACTCACTGTGCTCCCCCACCACAGGGGTCAAGCAGTTCACTATGGAAGAAGCCATAGGACTGTATGGCGTCTCTTGCTCACTCATGGGTTGAACCGGGAGCTTCTTCAGCTCCCCAGTCTGGTCCCAGCCTTTCACCTCTCCTCCTTTCAGTCCTATGATGTCTCTTTCCAGCCCCAAGCTCACTGTGAGAGTGAAATCCCCACTTTCTTCAACCACTTTATCCTTGACATACAGATTTGGTTTCTTTCTGCAGTAGCAATACTGGGGAGTGATATTGCCGCTCCTCTGGGTTTTGGGCTAGCACCAGGATAGAGGCTGCCTACTAGACTCAACCATGATTTCTTGCCAAAGCTATAGTGCTGTCTGTTGAGGACAGCATTTTTCAAAATTGATCTAACTAGACAACGGAGACACTTAATCACATAATACAGTGTCTAACCCCACATTGTTCCCAACTTTTGAGTTGTCAGTCACAGACACCAAGCCTACCTTTAACACCATGTGATTACACCTGTCTTTTATTAACTTGCATCCAATTTTGTAGTAGAGTTGTTTGGCTCTTCATTTTATATCTAATATACACCCAAACCTCAGCCCCTGAAATAAATCCATAAATTGGACCCTAATCTTTAGGTGGCTTTACTCCAATTTCCTGCCATCATCACTTCAACTCTAGGATCACTCCTCTAACGTTCAAGTTAAATGACGCAGAGGGTATGATAACTTCAGTGTCTTGCGTTTTGAAAAACAGGCATTGGCTCCCTGCCATTCAAAGGATACATTTCTATTTCCCAGCCTGCCATTTACTTGTCTGAGAACCTTATTTTTCACTACTAAACTGTCTCTCTGCAGTCTGCCTAGGCAGATCTTATTACCTCTTTAATCTAAAATCCCTACTAGCATTATTTCCTAAAGCTAGAACGCCTTTCATATGCTTCTCCATTTTTCATGACATTCTAAAAATATGACTTTCACGCACATCAAGTAGTCACGATCTTTGGGCAGAGTACGTGTTCCTAATGAAAAAACTTGCTACAAGGTGTTTTAAAAACTTCTTTTCTCTAACTTCAGCAGCTTACTTAGCTCTCTCCTGGACACTGATGTGCAGTGCCATCTCTGCAGACTCCCTACTTGGAGCCCTTCCTGGGCTGACAAGGTGTAGTTACCCCCAGAACTCAGCTCATCTTCAAATAAACAAAGGCCATAACTTAAACACCCTGGATCTCAGGTTACAAGTGCCGATGACACACTACCACACACACCAAAACGGACATGAAGAGATGAAGGCAGATGACCTTCACAGTTCCTCTATCAGAGACGCCAAAGGTCTTGGGAAGGTGTAGGACAATGCAAAGAACATTTGAGGCTCAGTGTGAATTTGCTGAACAGAGGGAACATCTACCTTTAAGATGGTGATACATGCTTGTAATCTCAACATTTGGGAGACCAAGGTAGGTACTCTTAAGACTTCTGCAAATTCTGTGATGTTATATATACTGTACAGTGATAGATCGCTCACAATTTTCCCACCTCATCATCTGAGTCTAGCCATGCATAAAGACTAACCAGCCACACTGTAGCTGCCACCCACACAGCAGCAGGTACACAAAAGGTTGTTCTCTAGGGTCATGTTTGGCTGATACCAATTCTTCATTTTCTTCACCTTGGTCATGTATCCTTTCCTATAATTTCTAAGAACTTACAACCTTTTCACATCATAAGCAATAAAATCAACAATAACAACAAAACTAGCTGCTTCAGCTAAGTGTTGGCTGCTCTTGTGTCCTCTCCCTGTTTGCTCATGTGTGAATCTGTTTAGTTGCACTGTGAGCTTCTGCATTGTGAACTGCTGCATCATCTCTGCATTGTGAACTGCTGCATCATCTCTGCATTGTGAACTGCATCATCTCTGGTCAGGGGACATGGCCATGAATAGGACTGCTGGGATCCAAGGCCAGTCAATAGGATCCTAGCTGTCTTGTCTTATTGTTTCCAATCCTTGAGCTCCCAAAGTCTTGTATGAACCCAAGTAGACAAAAGGAGTTAGCCTGCATCACTGCCTCTGAGAAACTCAACTGGAAGGGCTGGTAGTTGTTCTGGGGATAATTACAAGGCTCTTCACAAAAGCAACTATGAGCAGCCGGGGCCAGAAAAGGTGACTTGAAGATGGAAGGAGAGAGTACAGTGACCGGCCTTGAAGATGGCAGCCAAGGCAGTCACTTGAAGCTGCAACAGGCAAGGAAACACGTTCCCCTCAACCTCTAGGAGGAAGCAGCTTGGACACCACTTAAGTTTAGAGTTAGGGAAAGCTGATTTTGGACCTCTGATCTCCAGGACTAGAGGTCATGGCAGCTGGAGGAGACAAACACGTGATAAAGGGAGTTGTTCCTACAAGTTAGGAGGCGAAGATTGAGGATGGCATTAAGAGCAAGCTGGAGCCAATGCAGAGAACTAGGAAGACAGTAGCAGCAGCCCTGCCTGAGGTGGGTTAGCCAGGGTTGGTAGGTATAGTGTAAGGAAGGCATAGAGAAGGCTTTGGGCAGGGAGGAGACCGCTGGGGACGAGAGCACTCTGAGCTAGTGTCTCTCCATGGAGGTGTCTTTCTGTTCTCTGCACTAGTGCTGAATGACACAAACCACTCCCGCTTTTTAAACTGAACCATGTCTGGCATGATGTTGATAAAGTCAAATACTTACAGGGTTCATGAACTAACTTCACTTACTGTGCACCATCTGAACTCAACCATACATGCTGCTTTAGAAAATGAGAGGCGGGATTGGCCACACTGACTGAAGGAAGAAGCAAAGCTAGCTAGCGTCCTTGGTGGACCATGGTGTGGGCGATGGACCTCAGAGAGAGGGCACAAGTGAGCAGGCACTGGGGAGATGCACTGGCTGCTCTTCCAGGGGACCTGGGTTCAGCTCCCAGCCCCTCTGTGGCAGCTCCCAACCATCTCTGAGTCTAGTTTCAGGGGATTTTCTGAACTCCACTAGGTTTGCAGACATGATACACATAAATTCAAGTAAGCACAAGCA